GCAAATTGAGAAGACCCCTGAAAGTAGACCTATCAATATTGGACCTGACCCAAAAATTTCATGTTTGCGTTGACCCGAACCCAAAGCAGGTCGGGTTCTGATTCGGGTTGGAAAACCGACCCGTTTGAAAAATCGGGTCGGGTTCGGGTTGACTCGAGAACCAGTGATGACTCAAAAACACGTCTGCCCGCTCTGACCTGCCCTGCCTGCCTGCCCCACTGCCCCGCCTACCCCGTGCCCGCCTGCCCCGACTGCCCGGCCAAGTCGCGTCGCGAGTCACGTCCCGAGGACAGCATCGCCGCACACGTCCCAAGATCACGTCCCACTCGGGTGTCACGTCGCGCGCGTCTCAAGCTGCTTTCGCCGGCGTTGGGTTCACGTCGCTCAACTCGGAGTGCTTCGGGTTCGCGTTGCCGACTTCCACTATCGCCGGCCCAGTTTTCCTGCTTTTCACTACAGGCGTTGTTGTATTCGCGGGTCGGGTCGGGTCCAGGCCCAGAAAATTGACCTTTTGAAAAAACAGGCCGGGTCGACCCATAGCTGTCAATGGCGCAAAATAGCGAGCGCCATGGAGCACGGCGCGGCGCGGCGCACCTACGGCGCCATGTTCATGGCAAGGCGCATATGTTTAAAATAGCGCACGCTATTTGCGCCACATGTGAGCCATGGCGCATTACGCACGGTGCAAAATAGTGCGCCAAATTATTTTTAAATTTCGGTATACTTAATGAATATTTTTTATATTTAAAAATATATTTATATTTTAAGATAAACGACTATTCATTGTCCTAATTTCACGAAAGATTTTCTGATTTGCGCATCCGTCTCCGAACAAACATCCCGATAGTGCCCTAGAGTTGAGGTCGTCGCTGAAATCTATCACCGAAGTCGAAAGTTTTCGTATTTCTGTTTGCTGACATCAGTCTTATATTGTCCGAAATGAGTCATCGTTTCAGCCGAATCGTCCGCAAGAAGTGCTTCTGCCAAATCCGCCCTTCTGTCTGTTCAATAAAAAATCTACAGCAGACTGAACCACTTTGCACCATCCGTCGTTCCGCACAAGCTCTGTTTGTTTGCACGCTATTCTACACAGAAGTAATCGAACTCAGTATGCCGTACGCTATATACATGTCGTTAAGTAATGCCCGAACTATGTATATGCTGGGATAACGCGGCTGTTGACATGCTCATGTGCTGCTAGTACATGCTCGTACACTAGAATACACCTAACGTATCTGCTAACACGTACAGATACCGCTCAGAATAATGCTCATACTGCAATAAAGTGCTTTCGGCCTATGTAAATGCTCGGTACCGCTCGTACATTAGGCTCGGGCCCGTTACCGCTCCTAATTTTATACCAATACGAACTTCAAAATTCTCTCTTACAAATAATTTTGTCCTAAGGTCAAACCCCGCCAGGGGCAGCTCCCCTTGGACCCGCGCCTATTTATGTTCTTGGACAATATTATGTCTTTTATTTAAATTTGTTTGCTTTATGTATCATCAAAGTCTAGGTTCAGTCAACTTTATAAAAAAAATCCAGCATGAAAAATGAATCTTACAACAATAGAATCCGACAACAACAGTGTTAGCAATGCATTTTTTTGTAAAATTAACAAGAGGAATAACACGCCACAAACAATACCTCGTTGGGTTTTAGGAATGCAAGGATCTGCTCTAACATGTCATCAGTGTCCCAAACACGTGAGTCTGAAATTAAGGCATCCATGTTGAAAAAAAAAATATTAAAGGAACAATTTAATGACATATCAAATGTCAACCTTGCTAAGAAAGAGAAGACTTTGATTGTAACAGATGATATTTTTATGCTAATAATCCAAAATGTTGACGGACAAATAAAATCTAACACATCTAGTCAATGATCGACATCGTACATCTATCTTCAAAACATCACACTGAAAGGTCCATTAGATACTTCCTTACACCAAATCCTAAAAGATTGTAAGCATAGTAAATGTCAGTTTAACAAAGAAATGGATGCACTAAAAAAGAAATGAGGGAAGGGTTGTTCAAGTTTTCAGTAGATGGATTACGATGTTGGGATTCCATTAATATTGTGAACTATGTAGTTTTCCTCTATGTCGAGGCACTTGGCAGTTTGGATCTTTGATGAAAACCTCCTAGTATCATGAGGTACGAGTTACTTGTTTAAAGAAAGAGGTTGGACATACACATGAGTTTTATGCGACGTCATCAAGAAGATGTGTACGATATGTTGTTCCTAATGGCAGATGGATGGACGTCAAGGAATGAAAAGTTTAATCAATTCTTGTTAATTGTCCAATGAGGTAGTGCATTCATAGATCAATTGATGATATTCTTTCTCCAAGAATGCTATGAAAATGTTTGAATCTTTTTTGCAAATACATCGAGGTTAATGGACCCATAATGTGATCCAAGTGGTCATTGATAATGCATCCGAAAATGTTCTTTAGATTTGTCAAACTTTATTCTAAAGTTATGTTATTTCATAAAGAATTTGTATATATTCTTAACTAAATTCATAATGACATACAGGAAAATTATTAACGGACAAAATCCTCACATTTATTGGACTCCTGTGCTGATCACTGTTTGGATTTAAAATGAAGGACATTTTCAAATTCAAAAGCATAAGGCGATGCTTTGAGTGGCAGTACACAGTTTTATAATTCTAGCCTCGCTTACTTGAGTTAATGAGAATGTGCACAAATCAAAGAGCACTGTGTCAAACCCGCAAAAACTCGATTGCAACAGCTTTCTAACTTTACAATGTTTTCATACACAACTGAACTGAAGAAAATGTTTACTTGTGAGGAATTTATCTGGGTTCTTATGCGAAAGAGGCTAAAGCAAAACAATCTCAACATACAATCTTACAACAATCATTTTGGAGCACGTATTGTATGCTTAAATGCTGGTCCTTTATTAAAGGTTCTTTAGATTGGTTTGGAGAAAAGAAGCCCCAATAGCTTTATATATGAAGCAATTGATAGAGCAAAAGAGGCAATTGTTGCAAGCTTCAATAACATGATAAGTATGATCAAATTTTAAAATGATTGAATAAGAAGATGAGAAGTGCAATTACATCGGCGTACATGCAGCGAGACATTTTAAATCCTGACAATTCTTCAATAACCCTAATATTAATCAAGGATAAGGAAATAGTGATGGTCTTACCAATGTATTGAAGATATCTTAAAGATGTGCTGAAGAAGATAAATCAATAATGAATTAAGTTTATACATTATGGTGAAGGACTTTTGTATCCTCCAGCTGTAAGACAAGAACTACCGATCTCCAGGTATCATTATTATAAAAAAATTAAGACTGATATGTTATATATAATTGAAAAAAAAATTCATTTCTTCCAAACTATGGGTTGGCATATGACAAGGAGCTCCCAATTTACAAACTTATCTATCAAAGTCCTAAGTCTAACATGTATTCATCTGATGCAAATGCAATTGGGATATTTTTGAACTTTATAATTTACAATGTATGTGTTAATTTTTTATATATATTCATAATATAATAATGTAATAATATTTTAATTGCAGCTTTATAGCAAACGAAGAAGCAAATTGGATCATGGTCGCTTAAAGATTAGTTATGTAAAATATAATAGAGCACTGATTCGGAGATTCAATCATCGTGATGTCATTGATCCATTCTTTGACTAGATAGATGATGCAATTTATAATGGTTAACAGAAAAATTAGATGATGAGTCTGATGAAGAAAATAACTTTATTGCTGGAGAGAAAAATTTAACTTGGATAAGTGTTGCTAAAGCTACTGGTGTTTATGATAAAAGCTATAATATTTGGGAAAGATCTAAAGGGGGAAAGAGAAAGAATCTTCAATTAAGCATGTGTTGCTATTGAGAATGATGATGAGGAGGGTGATGAAGAGAACTATGAAGTAGGAGACAATGTTGAAGAAGATAATGAAGTTTTTTTAACATTTGCTAATGATGATGATTCTCAAGAAGAGTAGATTAAATTCTTATTTGATCTTTTAAAAAAAATTGTAATATTTGAATTATGAGATATTTGGATGTTACTTAGTCGAACTTATATATATTATGGTTGTCTTTTATTATTATGATAGATTGTCTTTCATTTTTAATAATATTTCATATTCATGTTTATTCTTTTATAATTTGTATATAGCTTGCGCCAGTTCAAAATAGCGTGCGCCGCGCCATGCGCTATGCGTCATGGCTCCAAAGAGACCTTCGCGCCATGGTGCGCCATTCGCCATTAATAGGTATGGGTCGACCCGAACCCGAATAGTGCCAAGTCAGTTTCGGGTTCGACCCGAACCCGATCCGTGACCCGAAATTGACACCCCTACCTGAAAGGTTGGTTAGGTATGTACATAACCCAAGAACAAAGAGAAGATATATAGTGTAGGGAATAGACAATCAATATTCAACAGTCACTAATGATTCAAGAAGAATAAGAACAACTAGAACAATTGAGCCAATTCCCACCAGAGGAAGCCACATTTTTTATATTTAACATGACAATCATTATGCAACAGCATGGTGATAACGAAAACAAAATTGGAAATTAGGAAAAAAAATTTCCAACAGCACAAGTAAAAGAATACTTATTTTAGGAAATATGTCCCTAGGGATGAAAAACGCGTGTAATTTTCTCAATTTAATGTCTGAAACAAGATAGCTAGTCTAGAAATCGCCTAAGAAAGGTCATTATTGTACGATTACATCGCACAAAGCATTTGCTAGTCTCAATCTTCTAGAAAATAAAATTCCAACAAAAGATAACCTTACCTTGCAATACAGTACAGATGTAGAAATTGAAAATAATAATTTGAAAACCACTGAAATTACTAACAAAAATGGCAGGAGGTGAATTTCAATAAGCACAATTGAGCGCTAAAATTTTTCAAAATGCACAGCATCAACATAGCAACAAATAAACAAACATGCATAGTCAAAAAATAGTAAAAATCATTTATAAAACTTACGGGGAAAACTTTCCATCAACAAGCTTAAATTGTCCAGTTTCATATATTCGTATCGGAGTCCCCTCCCAAATCTGAAAGTATAAAACAACTCCATTACATTATATCGACTCATAAGAATGATAAGGGAGATCATTTCAATAAACTTACATCCCATATTATTGTTTTGCCATCATAACCTGCGCTCATAGCTATCCGAGGGTTGAATGGATGAACATCTAATACAAAAGTCTGTAATATAAAAAGGACAGCACATGCACCAATCACTATACTTTTTTATTATGTAATTTAAAAGAAATTCTAAAAATCTTTTAACTAACAGAAACCCTGAGATTAAAAGGTAAAAATAATTAGTAATGCAAACTCCCCAAAAAAAAATATTTGGACCCTGCTTTTATAGGAGGACAAATCAAGTTTGGAAGTGACATCCACTTTTGCATGGGAATAATTTTGGTCATATCATCAAATGCTTATATGACATAACTCACATAAGTTTTTGTGTAGATTATTTTTGGGAGTATTATTTCGCCAAAAAATATATCAACAAGATTAATACGGATGCTAAAACATGGAAATACAAATAATGCATAAAGAAGCATATTGACAAAAACATTTTGGGACCAAAATCACTTGGACTGCGAACTGCGAGAAGTATTTATTCAATAACTTGACGGCATTAAAAATAGAATAAACATATTGAACGACAATTAAAAGCTTCTGAGATCACAATAACTATAACCTGATTCATTTTTTCATGGACCAACCATCCAAAATATGAGGACACCTAAAATAATTAGAGCATTGGCCAAACATTTTAAAGTAACAAGGTGTACCCTGTGTGCATGAAGCTCCAACCAAAAGAGTATGAGGGAATGATATATGAGGCTTTACTCTTACATTGCATGAAGGTGGTTTTCATGACTTAAACCCATAATATTTTAGGTCATAGAAAAATGACCTAAATGAGAATATTGCTCCAAGTCAACCTTCCATCTTTGGATTTGAATGCACAAGGATAAAATAATTATTGGATAAACCATCAGTTCCCTAAACCTAAAAGGAAAATATTATGTTCCGAACATAATTAGAACCTCTTTTTGCAAGCACCAATGCATTTAGGATCCATTTGAGGAAATTTTTCACAGCTTTGCTTTCCAAACAGCTACCATTGTTCTACATTGAAATAACTTTCTTGTTACTTGTAAAAAATTTTGTTAGTGAGAAAGTAATTGTAAAAAAGCTACTGCCCAACTTTTTAATAAAGAAAAAAAGATTATAATACCCATATGAGCTTTCCAAAAATCTATTTTTCCCACAATAATTTTTATAAACTACAATCACTCCAAATAGACCCTTTGTACGAGACTTTCATTGCCGCATTCCATCATGTAAAGGTCAAAAGGAAAATAATAAGTTGATCAATGACCAACTTGAGCAATTTAAGGACTTCACAATCCAAACATAATTTGACTTGTGCTGCATGCTTACGTCACCAAGATGGATGTGGGGGGGTGCAGGGGGAACTTATTTCAAATAGCAAAGTTTATGTTGGCAAAGAAAGGTACACCAAAAGAGTATAAACTAGCTCAAGATTAGATAAAACCAATAAAGACCTGAAGGCCAAGTAAAATCAACCATAGGTGGATCAAGAATAGAGATAATGGAGACCAACTTGTGTAGACCTAGCCTATAAGGATGTGGCAAGGTCAACTTATACAAAATTATCATGATTATTCGCATGAATTTGCATTAAAGAACTACAAGTTACATTAAGCAAGCAACTTAGAAGACGCATTCCTATATTCTCTCACCATTAACTACTGTAGCAATATAAAATCATATTTTTTTATTAAAATTTCATTTGTTCAGCCAAGCCCTCTATATGATTACAGTAATAATATGATATTATTATTATCTTAATGGAGACTAATTTTGAAAAGAGAAAGAAATGTTCCTCCTACTGGTTTTGAATAACACAATGCCGCCAAGCAAAACATAGCACGTCATTGGCCCTAAGAGACTATAATGGTATGCATGGCATGATGCAACTGTTTGGTTGAAGCGCATGTAGCCACCTCTGGTGAAAGAAATATTATTCAAAGGAAACCACACCTTCCTAACTTGAGATTCAACTTCCTTACAAAGAATAAATGTTAAATTCAAATTACTTTCCAGCACATTAAACAACATAAAACAGTTAAGTCAAACTTGAAAACAAACTACAATCAAAACACTTACTGATTCGGTATGACCAATTAATGAATGGACAAGACTTCCATCAGAAGCATTCCAAACGCATATTCTACAATCTATAGGAAGGAACAGTAAAGTTAATTCTGCAGAAGATTTGCCTCTCAAGCAAAATAATACACAAGTAATATCAAACCATGGTAGGAATGCATTAAAAACTTTAACACATGGAGCAAAACACATAGGATACGTACAAAAATTGTTGTATATGAAACAATTAACAGAATCTAGCTCACAAACATATGCAAAAAATCAGGATGGGTAGGAATTTCAAAAATCATTTAGGCAGTCCACACATAAAATCAACAGTCATGGAAGAATAGGAGATATTTTGGCATATACCCGAGTAAATAAGAACATACAAATGGATGTTACATTAGGATTCCAGTGAAGTTATATCAATTAGCAAATAAGAACAAGTTTTGCAACACAGATGAACACAGGACAGAAAATTGTAACACCATGAATGCTTGTATGATGCCTCAGCAGATAAAGAGCATATAATGCAAGGACAAATAATTATACTATTAAAAGGCAATGGTCTGAATCATAAGTGCTTACTCTTTGAAATTACTCGCCAACAAAACTTTCTTGAATTAGTCAAAGTATCAATTCCACACAGATTCCAAAACTAACATTCCACCCGCTAGTTTGCTGGCCAACTCGGTACACCTTTTAAGGGGTACCAAACAGCCATGGTCTAAATCATTATATGCTATAGCTCATTTAGCCATTGCAAGCAAATATCCAATTTTTCACAATTTTGCACTTGGTATGAGTACTCAACTTTGCTTTAACAGCTCTATTAATGTAATAACTGTTGTATAAAAATAGTAGTTTTGTGCATAATATATAAATCAACAACCTTCCAAAAAAAATTTTGAACCACTTGCTCTAATAGCCGTATTAATGTAATAGCTGTTTTATCAAAAAAAAGTAGTTTTGAACTTAACATATAAATCAACAACCTCCAAAAAGAAGTTTGCACCACTGAGATGCGTTTCCATGACTCATAGCTGCTAAGTTTTGAATTCCTAGTAGCATAATACAATGCCCAATGGTTGACCTGTTTTATAATGCGTAGTTAATTGGGATTCCTACAAATCAACAATCATAGACTCGAGTTTAATCTTTATAATGATTTGTACAATTCAAATCAATCCATCAAATAATGATGATATCAAATGACGACATAGATAAAACACGATACAAACATGGGACACGTCAATTATTAAAAATTTAGGATAAGGACATGATATTATAATTTTTATATTTTTAAAAATAGTGCATAAAAATTAAGTATAATATTAAAATAAATTTTGAAATAATAAGTCATTTAACTAGAATTTGTGCTTAAATGATTAATATTAGGATATCAAGAGTTGAGCATCGATGTCATGTATTAGGCATCAAGAGAAAAGACGACAATGCTGTCAAGAGTCGAGCATCGATGTTATGCAGTAAGTATTGAGCGTTGATGTCAAAAGGGTGTCTGTCTTCGATGTTTAGAGAGTGTTGGTCGACGATGTTAAGATGACGTCTGAAAAAAATGAGCTGTCAAGTTGTGGGTGTAAAAATTGCTAGCGTTGAGCATCAATGTTAAGACAGTCTCAAATTTTGATGTTGAGATGATTTTGAAACGTCGAAGTTGTAACGATGTCAGAGTTCAATGTTAAGATGACATCAAACATTGTTGTGGAACCAAAGTCATGATACGCAAAAGAGAAATGAAAATGAGAATATTCGATGAATGAGGTATTGAGTGCGAGCGACTGATTTGTGTTGTAGATAGGAAATAAGAAATTTAGTTTTTATAATTTATATAAATAAGAATTTTAAATACAAAAAAAATTATTTAAAAAAAATCATAAAATATTTAAGGCATGTGTGTCCAATTTGAATTTAATATTTTTTTAATCAGATAGGTTTTCGACATGTCCAACACGTGTCGGAGGCATGTCGGACCCGTGTTGTGTCGGACAATGCACGACTCTTTGAGAAGAAGTGTCGGTACATCATAAGATTATTACATTTCCTTTGAAGATGTGTACAATTAGACATAAAAAAATCTATCATAAAAGACATTTTAATATTATTTTTAAAGACATTTTATCATTATCATAGACTTATCCTAACAATTAGGGGTCAAGCTTATGAATACTTTATGAATTTGTATTTCATGTATTCCTATTGAGTGTTTTTTGAGGTGTTAAACATGTTCTAAAACCGCTTTTTGAACACATGCTACCTGACAATTACTTAGTTTTCTTAGTAATCATTGGATAGTACTATCTACAAGTCTGACAGGTACATTTTCTATTCTTTTTTATACATGCTCAAACTACGTAAGTCTATTGTCCACTTATCTTTAGTTCTATATCCATCATCTTGCTAATATAATCCTTCCTAAGTTATGCCAAACATCCAACTCTCATTCCCAGTGTGATCACCTTGACCAGCAGCAACCTTTTACCACTCAATACTTCGATTCATAACATTAAGTCGCCATGACATTTTTCTCATATCAAATAATATCATAAGTTCTTCTCTATTTTAACCACCCAAAAATAACTTCAGAAGTTATAATTTCATTTTCTTGCCCATTTTATCATATAAAAAATAAGATATTTAAACATCACCTCCCCCAAATACCACATATCCTAATAATACTGACTGAATACTACTGACCAATAATTTGTAATCTTGCACCAGCTAAAACTACATACCATATGCTTAGACTTTGCCTTACTAATCCCAAATGCTTAATGTTGCACATTTTTCTCCATTGCTCAAAAAAGTTATTTCAAGCTAACGTCTCATTAATTAGAATTATAACGAAGGCATCTCACTTCTAATGTCCTTTGTAAACATCTCAGTAGCAATACAAAAGAATATAAACTCAATGCCAATCCTTAATCATATGTTAATGTAAACTCCTTAATAAAATCACAATTACTTCTAATACTCAATACTTCATCATGCATATCTTTGATACACATTTTTCTCTTGAATGTAAATCAAATCAATAGCATTGTATTCAATTATTCACTTCCCAAGATTAATAAAAACCATATGAAGACCCTTCTTTTTGCACTCTATAGTAGTCCATTAATTGTTTTAACACCAAAATTACTTCCATAGTGAATCTTTTGGCATGAAACCAAATTTATTCTTCGATAGCAACATCATTTTTTGAAGTTCATGTTCCATTACAATCCTCATAACCCCATTCTAATAAGTTTTATTCCACTATAATTATCATAATCTTGAATGTCACTTCTATTCTTAAATACTAGTATCATTTTAGTCATCGAAATTCTATTTAAAATATTTGGAAACCAAATTAGAAAAAATATAACCATAACTCTCCAAAACTTCATAGATATCTCATCTAAAACTAAAGCTTACCTTTATTTATCTTTTTCATATATTTCTCCTTTTTTAAAATCAATTTATAATTCAGCTAACTATTTTGTTTACTATCTTCTTCCAAATATTTTGTCAATAAAATTAGCATTTCATAATTTTTCAAAGTAGAATTTTCATCTTACTCTGATGTCTTCAAATATTAAATATCATTTATAATAAATCTATTTGATCAAAGTCTCTAAACATTATATCTACTATTTTTAGCTATTTTATGTATCACATTGTCTCATATCTCAATACTTAAGACCCTATATAAATCATCAAAAGAAGTAAGCTTTGCTTTGTACATTATCCTCTTTGTAAGACTTCTTATTTTATAATCAACATAAGCCTAAAATACTATTTATCTTTTCCCACCATTAAATAGTATTTCTTTTCTTTAATAGCATCTTCAATCTCTTCACTCTATGACCAAGTCTCTTGACTAATGTATGGTCAATTTATAGACTCTAACAAACGAACTTTTATTTCGTCCGATGAACGCACGCAACTCTACGTTCGGCCGCCAGTAGAATCGCGCCACGCGTTTTCATTATTTACCGCGCGCCCCGACAACCCGACCCGGAAAGGATACAAGATTGCTCGGTATTGCTAGGTATTGGTCAATTTTGCTCGGCAATAACCAATACCGAGCAATACCGAGCAAATACCTAGCAATACCGAGTAAATACCGAGTTGTAACGAGTTTTTTCTAGCAATACCAAGCAAATATCTAGCAATACCGAGCAAATCCCTAGCAATACCGAGCAAATTCCGAGCAAATACTGAGTTGTACCGAGTTGTAAAAAAACTCGGTACAACTCGGTATTTGCATGGTATTGGTCTTCACAGAGCGGTATTTCTCATTTTTGCAAAGCAATACCTAGCAAATACCGAGCAAATACCGAGCAATACCGAGAAAATCGCGAACATAGCATTCCCATAGCATTCGTCGGGCCGCGCGGTAAAGGGTAAGAGCACGTGGCGACATGTTATTGGCGGCCGAACGTAGCTCTAAGTCCGGTCAAAGGACGTAATAATTGTTCCTCACAAACCTTCTGCAACAATCTTCTTCTCAATGGAACTATCTAGCTAATCCCACAATAGATTTAATTTTAAAAAAAAAAAACGTATGCTTAGTACATGACAGTTTTTTTGGGAAAGGGTGTAACCTTATCACAACTATATATATATATATATATATAATAAATGGATTCCTCCTTACGTTGAAGTGAGTATGAAAGAAATATCGAATGTAATCCAAATAAGTGAGATTTATGGAAACCATTACAGATCTATAAGCAGGACAAATTCAGGTTAAGTGGTGAATTTCAAGTAGTTTTTTGCCAAGTGCTCAGTAAAAAAACAGTAAATAATACAGCCTCGGAAGATTTCAAGTTGTGGAATAAAAGGAAATTTGATATTGTTTTCATGTTTGGAAGTAAAGAGAATAAACAAATAGATTACAAATTATAACAATCAACAAAGAAAATAAAGAAATTAAAGATATTTTCTATCACTTTTCTGATCACTGCTCCATAGTTAACTTTGCAACAATTTAATGTCTGCTTAGCAATTTCGAGGATATTCCTGTTTAATATATTTAAAGATAAGAGGAAAGAAAGCCAGCATGTACCACATCAAAATAAGCAATAGATGACCCAATTGTTTATCATACAGAACTCTTGCTTGGTACACATAGGTATAGACATTGCAATGCCATTAATAAGGCCACTTGGTCATAATCACCATGATGAATTTTTTGTTTGACAGCCGTTTATTAAGGTTGGTATTCTCCTAAAATTGGAACATTGGGTGCCACAATGAGGATATGCATATGAAAAATGTAGGCATGATATTTCTCACAAAGCACATAAGACACATAAAAATACTAACACATGATAACAGCAAACATTGAGTGCCACAAAGAGGATATGTATATGAAGAGTGCACATAAGGCACATAAAGTACTCACCCATAATAGCAGCAAGCACAAAACGATTATCTAAACTCCAGACTATCATGTTAACAGCACGAGTATGCACATAAAATGATCACAAAGCACATAAGGCAAATAAAATACTAACCCATAATAGCAGCAAGCACGAAGCGATTATCTAAACTCCAGACTATCATGTTAACACCACGAGGAGTAGGTTGAAACCTCTGGCGGGGACCTCCACGAGGAGGTTGGGGAGGCATGGGCGGTGGAGGAACTTTAAGATGGTATGCACGTGTCCAACGTCCAACTTTCCCCTGCCATGAGAATTAAGAACAATGCATGTGTTTATCATTCTAGGCATGTGAAATAATTACCTCAAGGAAAAAAATGTGTCAGTAAATTGTACACTGACTGGAACAGGGATAATATTGCAGGAAAGCTAAATTCTTTGGACAACTATAACATAGCTATGAAGTACAAAAGACTACCATTGTGAAAACAAAACAATGTATTACATTATAAAGGAAATTAGAGATAAAAATTAAGCACAAAGCTAACATAATTGAAATAAATGAACTCACATGAGATCTCCTAGATCGTGGAATCCAAATTATTGCACTGCCATCACGTGAACATGTAACTATGTTGTCATGAGTAAACCTAGGACATTGAACAGAAAAAACTTAGCACCAAACATCATCGACAACATCCCTAACCCAAATCTCTAGGATCCCTTTAAACCCTTCCACACAGTACAATAACATGATTAGCACAGCATGCAGTCCTTAATTGTCATTAATAGATCACATCAAAATACCCAAACAAAATATAGAAGCTAAAAGCCAAGATGACAGACCAGGAGTTTCTGAACTTTGGAATGTTATCCTCCTTCAGAGTATCAGTGCTGGAAAATTTAGAAGGCACAGCACAGCCACTGGCCAAAAAATAGTCACTCTTAAAAAACAATTAAAGACAAAAAAACTTTTTACAATAGTTGACTAACCTGAACTGTACATAATTCACATCATTTTCATGGCCTGATAACACATCCATCTCATGGTTCGGTTGATCAGAGTCCTCCACACTGTTTCGGCATGCATTCCACACCTGCAACCAATCAGGTTGTTGATAACTTCCATCATTATCCAACAACTTTCATTATTAGAAACTCACACCTGCTATTCATACCCTTGCATATGTGTCTGAGCTACCAGTAACAAATACAGTTCCACTAGCATTGAACGCGCAACACAAGATTTGATGACTTTGCTGAACGGCATTTGTTGAGGCATCATTCACCCTACCTAAAATCATCACCATAATTTAACTCCTTAATTATATAGTCAACTGATATTATATACAATCTAAAAGAAAAAAAAATAATTTCGTAAAATAGTTCACCTGTAGTATCTGGAGGCTTCGGAATATAAATTCGCAGGCTGAGCTGGGAGTACCTAGCATCCCAGATCCGGCATGTTCCATCATCGGAGGACCTATTCAAGTGCCCAAAGATGATTCAAAAAAAAAGAGGTGAAGTAGAAGGTTATTTTAATTGCATTTGAGGATAATAGACCCCAGTTTGATACTGAAATGCATCTAACATAAACCAACAAAGTGAATGATGATGCCAATTAAATTTAGGATGCTTCAAGAAACCTCAGAAAAACAATTGGCCAACTTCTACAGCATAGAATCCACAAAAGCCACCACTAATCATTAATCCTGGAGCTCTGGGTATGAAGAAACGAAATTCTAATAGAGCAAGAACGCACACAAAATTTGGAAACTGCCAGTGTCCTTATGCATTACATGACGTGACGATTAGGTCTCTATAAAAACAAATTTCAAATCCACTAAAAGTTCCAATATTTTACTGTTAATTGTGAATCGGTGCACCATGTTTATGGCAGGAATGACATAATGAACATATTAAACCTTGCAAACAATTCAAGTTTTTGTAGAAATTGCATTCAGTTCCCCTCTCCGTCTCACCAAAGTCGCAAGGATAGTAACACTAGAGAAGCTAACCGGCATGGCTGTTCACTGCTTGCCAATGCCAAGGAAGTTTCCAAAGCAGCATCAAGGACTCTTCATATCGCTCATAATGCAAAAGAGCATAGCACTCAGTCCAACACAACATTCCCAGTGTCTAGGATGAGTCCAAAACATCTACATCCCTCACTATGACTAGACGTGTTCCAATTCCTTTATAATTCGCACACTCTTGTGCATCACGTTTTTTTTTTTACAAATATGAACTAACAAACTTCTCCACTCATCTAACATCTTTTTAGTCTTCAAATTAATATTAAAAATTTTAGTAAGCCAAGAAATTCCTTCATCTCCAAGGCATTTCAACACACCTCTATTAGAATATCATCAAATACAAATGTTTTTTCACACTTTACTTCCTTTAAAGCCATAACTTCGATTTTACTAATATGACAATAAAACTAAAATCTTTATTTTTATTTTGGGTGCTAAGGTTATTAAATTTAATCGTATTCTCACAATCCTTATTAAAAAACTCATCGAAATATCTCATTCACCTATGTTGAATATCCTTTTCTAATAAAACAATTTTTTATCTTCATCCTTAATGCACTTCACTTGAACTAGATCTTTATTTCTTCTATCTCTTTGCTTGGCTAACTTATAAATACATCTTTTGTCCTCCTTAGTATCTAATATATTATAAAAATCATTAAAAATAAAATTCTTTGCATTGCATATTATTTTCTTAGACTCCTTACAAGTCCCTCTATATCTTTTCCAATTTTCTGAGTTTTTATATTTAAACCAATTTTTATAATAAGACTTATTATTTTTTACATTGTTTTGCACATTTTGATTCCACCATTAACTATCTTTACTATTAGGAGTTTTTACTTTTCAACTATTAATATTACTAGCTACTTATTCCATATAATATTAACATCTTCATCTACAATCAAAATTTTGAAATCTTGAATCTTACTCTTAAGAATATTTTTATTAGAGCATTATTTAAATGCCCTCATCTAATCCTAAGACAACATTTTATTTTATTTTTCATATTTCACCCCTTCATTTTAAAGACCAAAACTAATAAGCAATATTAGGTACATAAAATTTCACTCGGAATGATTTTACAACCGTTGCAATCTAAATGATCTATTTTTTTATAAGAAAGTAATCAATCTGAGTTTTACTATAACCATTCTTATAAGTAATAAGATGCTCCTCTTTCTTTTTTAAATAAGGTATTAGCATGCAAGTGATAATAAAAGGATTTGTAACAGTGAGTAGGAATATTTTGTTATAATGTAATTGTGGAAAAGTTCAAAAAAATCTTGAAAAAATTACGAACTAAACTATAATCAGCTTTTCAAAATAATATGTATACACATTAAAGTAGGTTCTCATTATGTGTAAATATCCTCTATCAAGTTCAAACATATTCAAAATGCTTTCTTTGAAAATCAAGAGCAAATAACTAAAACAGAAAATAACACTTTTAATGCCTTGAAAAACCTTTGAAAATGAAACCAAAATATACAGTTTGTCAGAAAAATTATTACATTGATTTCCAAATATATACACAAGTCATACTATGCGAAGAGAGCGGTAATCTGACTTGATCTCTAAATATATTAAACAAGCAAAACTTAAATATCTCTATATATCACATAGACCACTTTATCTCCCATTATGATGCCCCGGCAATCATCAAAGTAGTTAATTAAAAATGTAAATGACGATAATCATTCAACAGACAACAACATACAAAAAGGTAACAATGAGTAGGAATATTCATTTTTAATTTAACAGCCGAAAAGTTCATCCAAATCCCTAAAATCTTGACAAAATTAACAATTTAACTAAAAGTAACTTTTCTAGAAAGTATGAGAAATATTCAAGCAGGAACCTATGATGTGTGTAATTCTTCTATCAAGCCCAAACTTGCGCTTTTCGGGGTGTGTGTGTGTTTGTAAATGGAGAGTTCTTAATTAAAACAGACAAGTAAGACTTACCAAATGGCATATAATAGGCATCAACTCTCTTAAAAATTCAAGCATTTTATTTACAGCAAGACAAAAGGTTAGGACCTAGTAGGAAAGAGGCGGTGAAATGGCCTCAAGGTATTGAGAATTTCAGAAAGGTTTATTTGCACTATGAAATTATAGTAATAATTTGGGACTCTTCCTATTTCTCATTTTTTACTTGATGGAGAATTCTGATATACTAACCAACCAATTTCGTTGTTTTCAAACTTTTGGTGCCCCCAACACCCCAATTGGTTCAGGGTGAGTAGTGTATCTTTTTTCCAATATGATATTTTCTATTTGCAAATAAAATTTTCCTTATGCTTAGTTTGCTTTTCAATAAACCTTCCTTTCCCAATGTTAGGAAAAGGTAAGGTTGTTAGCTCTATTTCCTTTTTAGCATGTAATAGTTTTTCCCGTTCTTAATGCAATTTGCAATTCTTCAAAAAAAAAGCTGTCAAAAAAATTATTAAACAATTTAGCTGATAAGTGCTCAATCTTCTGTAAATTAACGTGTCAGACCAATTTGATGAAATACCAGAATAAACATTATAATGCAAGGAAAAACCGAAAAAACTTATTTTAGGTGACATCAATTAGCATTAGCTTAGGTGGTATTGCTCCCATCAAAATAAGTGCAAGGAAATGGGTTAAACTCCCATCATATCGAGTTGTTTCAAAAACAAGAACAAGAACAATTACGATAACAGCTGATAGCAGGAGCTTGGTCGTGGACTGAAGGCAATAGCAGTTACAGCTCCAGTGTGTCCTCTCAAGACTGAAATTGGTAAACCATCAGGCAAGCGCCACTGCATTCAAATAAGGTGGCAATTTATACCCAAATACAGCATATCACTTAAAATATGCATATAGTGCTGTATATAAGGAAAGTGAACACTATAGAAGGATCCAATACAAATAAATATGGATCATGCTTTCAGCAGAAGAAAGAATCTTAAGCAGGAGAAAGAAAATAACAAATGGAGCACAACCATTCTGAATTCATAAGTATCTACGGAAGTAAACAACTTACAACTCTGATGATGAAATCATTTGAAGCTGATGCGACCAATGCGTTATTTGAACTTACAGCCAAATCAGTAATGTCACCCTTTTGATGCAGAGAAAAAAAAAATCAGATTTCTTCTATCTCTGTGTGTGTGCGGTACAGAAAAATGGAACTCAAAGTATCAAAAAAATCCAGTCACCTCGTGTCCTCTACAGCTGGCAAGGCAGAATGCTGTTTCCATGGACCAAATTTTTACCAGGCGATCATCTGAGCCAGTAATTACATAGCGCCCCAATCGGTCAAATGTTGCTAAAAAACAAAAAAAAAAAGGAATTAATAAATAGTTATAATTATTACAAAGCTCTGATAGAAAATACTTCCTCAGTTTAACCATAAACTGATGGAAAATTTAGATGGGAGACTACTAAAGCAGTCAGTTATAAATATGTTATCCCAGAAGAAGTCACATGATCATAATTTAAGAAATAAAGATAAGATCCGTTAACCACTTGACCACACACCTCAATCCAAACACAAACGAAATAAAAGCAACAACATTAAAACTTTGTTAGGCAATGTTATGTTATTGTTATGTTGATAACGATTACATGTGAACTTGATGTTTATCTGAAATAAGATTGGGGAGATCTTGTGTTGACCAATATCTACCAACCAACCCGAAAGAAATATATAAATGAATGTTTTGAAGCATGTAAAAAAAACTTTGATCACATTTTTTTCATTTTTAAATCTTGCATGTGATTGTTGGGTTTGTGATTCCTTAAAGAGTGGTACAACTGTGACTTCTTAATTTCAAGGGATGTCATCTCAGTGTACCAATATGAGGCATAGATTTCTTAATTTGATGATATCTTTATTTATCCTATTTATCTGCATAATTTATAATGTACTTCTTAATGAACTTGATTTTATTTAAATTTGACACACTTTGCAACCACCTTAAAAATAAACGGGTTCCAAACCATCGGCACTAGTTCAGCCTAAGTCCCTCAACCAGCAATTATTACAACATGACTTGTAACTATCACAGGACCAAAACTAAGATCATAGGGCAAGATTAATTTCTAGGATTTGATTACATCTGATTTTTCTTTTTTTTTTATTGTCAGGTTTAAATTTCTCCTTGATTGATTAGAATTCATTAAATCATTACATTATTGTTGATCATTGGCTTATTTAGTGGTTTGTGATGTATGAATCATAAGATTCTTACATTACCTGCAAACATTACATCATTTTAATTGCATTAGAAAGCCCTAATCCTAAAATCGCCATGCATCAAATTGGAATTACAATTTTAACCACTATACAACAACAATTGAAAAAGTTTTTAAATAACCAAAATTAAATATATGATTCAATAGTTTTAGTTAAAACAATAATTGATAATTTGAAGCAATGTCTTCAAGGCACAATGTGATGTGCAAGACTTCCGTATTGATTAAATGTGCAAAGAACTATGCAAAGCAATGCTTTTATTAACTAGGGCGCCCATAACTTGTATATTATGCATACATATCTAATGTCCATAAAATACACATAATTAATCAATTTAAACAATTAATAATTTTTAGCCTATACAATGATACATTCAATAATTGTAAAATATGAGCTATTTATAAATGTTGAAACTTGGAAAAAATAAAACAGAAATATCATGTACATACATAATTTGAAGATGAACTTCAAAAGTGAAATGCCTTGCACAAAGACAACTAATGTTGCCCTATGATGAAATGCATTATGCAAAAACAATGTGGCGATTGATCTAACATATTTTCTGATTCCCAAAAATATAAGCTAGATAGAATAAAGTCTTTTTTCAAACTTCTTATCTAACACAACGAAAGAAAAATGTTTAATATCCAACATAAATAAAGAATACTAGAGACAAACGAGAAATTCAAGAAATGCATGAAAATAAAGTGTAATGGTTCTTCGTGTGGAGGAAAATCTACAAACGGACAATTGCCAATATATAACAGCATATGGAGCAAAAACAAGAGGCAGAGATGAGAAGTTTGAATGTTTTTACTGTTATGTTAACATGTCAAGGAGAAATCGTAGATGGAGACAAGAAGGATGAGCATCTACTCCTGTTGCTTGCTTTGCTAGACTAAGCTATCAACTACAGTTCTCCTTTCTTTTTTTTTCTATGAATTAAATTGACTAGTCAACTAGGCATGTGAGGCAAACCCAAAAGTCACAAGTTCCCAGCCCAAAAACAAGCCACAAAGAACCACAAGAGCTTTGTACGAGTCTTCTACAGGGCTTTCACACTCAAGTGACAAGCAGCACATGCTTTGCTTTCACACTTGAGAAAGACATACAACGCATGCTTTGCTTTCTCTGAGTTCGTGAGAAGGCTACAACACATAACTCTACTTCATGATATTTCACCTTTGAAGCACAATTAAATGCACGCTTTTAACAGCACTTATTTGAAGCCCATCAAATTCATGCACATGAACCTGAGGTGGATCGTGATCATGATGATGAGCCAATTCAATTGAATGTCAACATTGGTAGGAGACAAGGAAATAATTATGATATACTAGTTAGGGTTTTTAACAATGTTGTTTATAAAAATTATGGACAACAAGATTTTAATGTAGATTATGACACAACAAGAAAACTTGAAATTTGGGTATCTAGGGGGGGGGGGGGGGGGGGGGGGGGGGGGGGGAATCGATTCAAGTTTACACCCCATTGTATCTTTCTTCTCAATCAATGAAAAGTTGTTTTAGGTGTTTTTATGTTCTAAATATAAAAGTTGTAAGGTGTCGTTTTGTTTCATTTCTTGTGTTTTTTTGAAAGGAAGACGAAAGTTTATATGCAATCAAGCTACCCTATAAATTTTTTATTGCATCAATTTGGTATCAAAGCTTAGGTTTTTGTTGAGTCTTCTTTTCTTTTCTTTTTAAGTTTTTTTAAAAAAATGGATAAACATCAAGTTGAAGGTAGTCAAGAAAGTAAGCCAGGTAATCTTGAAGAAACTACTAGCCGATGGATTCTGACGCAAGGAAGTTCTACTAATCCCCTACAAAACGAGTTATATAAAATTCAATATCAAATGTACTTGTGTACGAAAAAATACGAAAAGAAAAAGCAATTTCTTCAGGCCAAATTCAAGCAAGAAAGAGAGATGATCCAGAGGAAGTATGCAGCCTTGATTCAAGAATTAGAAGTGGCGCCTTCGACTCGTCAGGAAAATTCTAAAGTCAACTCATCATGTGATGAGTCCTTTCAACCGGGGGAAAATTTGATGTAGGCAAGGGGAGGGGGGTCGGTTCATCCCCCCTGTGGCCCTTCGTTTCCTCTGCCTGGTCGGGTTCATCCCCCTCTGTTTTACCCCTTCGGTTCCCCTGCCAGCCCGGTTCTTTCTCCCTTGTGCTGGTTGTTCGTTGGTTGTGTCCTGCTAGCCTTTCGGGTGCTGCTCCCTTCGGCTGTCTTATGGCCTTCCACCTCCCCTTTGCTGATTGGGTATCTTAGGCAGATGTTTGGGCTATTTGGCTCCCTCTCTTCTCCTATATATAGTGGTTGTTTTGAGGCATTTTAGGTAGAGTTTTGTGGAGATGAATTGTTAGAGCTAAAAACATGCGGGTTTCTTCTTGGATAGCTTGCGAGCTAGTCCCCTTTCTCTTCCCCTCTCTATGAATTCGTCTTGGGATTCTTATCTACTTCTTCTCGCCACAAGTTTACACCCCATTGTATCTTTCTTCTCAATCAATGAAAAGCTACTTTAGGTGTTTTTATGTTCTAAATATAAAAGTTGTAAGGTGTCATTTTGTTTCATTTCTTGTGTTAGTTTCTTGTGTTTTTTTGAAAGGAAGACAAGTTTATATGCAATCTAACTACCCTATAGATTTTTTATTGCATCAAGCTTTTAAGCATTTATCAATTATGTAATGGATTTAGATATTTTTTTTAAAATGTCAAAACATTTATGATATGCAACAGTGAGATTCAAAATAATAAAATTTATTACATAAGCTGAAATTTATTTGATGAGAATGAAAAGATAAAATGAAAGGTTATGAAGCAAATCTATTACCAAATAGGCTGAAATGAAATAAATTTTAAAAGATAAATATTTGCCATTGTTTTATCATAATCATTTGCTTTAAGAATTTAATTCATTAAAACAAGCGACCAACATTGCCACTTAATAAATGGAAAATCTTGATAAATTGTTGTTGCATTTCTAAGATCATTGAAGGTCCTAAAACCACCTCTTAAGTTTAAGTTTATTTGAAATCTAATATCAAGAAAGTGATGACAGCTCACCACATGCAATCAATTAAGCATACTAGTTTCCTTACATTAAATTTTGAGCAGGTGTTAAAATTTTGTGTCTAAGGAGGTTACTACATATTCAAGAAATGTAGCAGTGTATCATTTTGTCAAAGCAATCAAGTCTGGTGCACCTACTATGTTTAAAAATAGTAACACAAGAATAAATAAGAATAATAATGAAAAATAATTTGCATCTACATTTAGGCCTAAGATTTTTAAAAAGGCTCATTTTAAGCATCATCAAACTGTTCATTCTACTACCATTCTACTACCGAGTGTACTAGTAAGAACTTGTTTGTAAATATGGAGGAAGAATGAAAGCAATGGTTTTGATAATGTTTATGAAATTAATGAGAAAATTAGTGGTTCTTATGATGCTTTATTTGATAATTCTTTGAATGTCATGTGTTGCATCGTAGCTCCTCCTAAGAGTGAATCTAATTAAAAGAAAACTAATTTTTTCAGATTATTTCAAAAATGAGAAACTTTGAAAGATTATAATTAATAGTGGAAGCTACATGAATGTTAAGTATGCCCATCCTAGACTTCATATGAATTTCAAACTTGACAAAATCAATAATCATATAAAAGATAACATGGGTAGAATAACTTATGTTTTTATGTCTAAGAGTTGTTTAAATCCGATTTGAATTGGCTACATAAAATGATAGAATCTAATGCGATGTGTTAACCATGGTTATTGCTCATGTATTTTGGGTAGACTTTGGATTTATGATTTACACGTTACTCATTTTAGAAATTCTAATATATATACTTTTAAATCTATAACAACAAGCTTTTATCCCACTTTGTGGGGTCCGCTACATAAATCATTTTCTCAATTATGTCCTATTAAGAGTCAAATTCTCATTTAAATCTAATAAAAAGGTACTTTTTAATACTTTCTAATCATGCATTTTTAGGTCTACCTCTACCTTTCTTGACATAGGTCAGATATAATATATATATTCTCCTAACAAAGTCATCGGGAG